AACAGAAATCACTTTTCAAAAACTACAACAAACGACTCGTTTGGACTACAACGCATATTTTCCGGGATTTGTGATATCACAAATATCGACGAATGGGACGAGACCTGGTTGAGCTGCACTAGAGAAGGCAACGAGTGTCATCACCATGCCGGAGACACGCTAGCTTTCCCAAGGCAGACGGACTTAGAGTGTTTATAATCATCCAGGTTTAAATCGTGCTCAAATTGATTTGATTTTGACGCAATATTTACACTGAAGCTCGCAGGCGGCTATGGTAACTTGACATTTCCCGACCAGGCGCCGAGTGCTGCCAATCACAGCAGACACTGGCCCAGCTAACCAATCACAGCACACACTGGCCCAGCTAACCAATCACAGCACACGCTGGCCCAGCTAACCAATCACAGCACACACTGGCCCAGCTAACTAATCACAGCACATTTCGTATTTCAGATGGCGGGCCTTCATTTGATACAGAAACTGTTCGAGCCGTTCATGCCAGACTGGGGAGAGAGGTGTTGTAATCATGTAAAATATGTAAAAAAGAATGTGTTTTTCGAACAACCTAGTATGAGAGCCTGTTCTAGTACACCCCCAACACAAAATCAAGACTTTGTAAAAGAGCATAATAGGTCACACACAGTCACACAATCGTGTACATTTTATCGATAAACACTGAATTCTCAGGGTTCTGAATGTTACAAGTAATCTAATATACATGCATTGTTTGCCCAAAACTTAACCAAGTTTAGCATTGCATTACTTCTAGTTTATATGCTAAATGGCACAATTATATTTCTAAATATATAATTGCTGATATGATGTAAGAAAGAGGTATTACTCAAATGCTCAGTTTAGCAGCAACTTTTTGCCATGACTCTATATTTAAAAATGACTCACTTAACTATGTTTTATATATTTGTCTGAAGTTGCAAGATTTTATGATGCTGCTAGTGGTGCTTGATGCCACATTTTACATCATAAAAGATCTCACCATGTGTGGTATTTAAACCATCCTTGATTGTTGTGTGTTGCTATTGTACTGTAACATTTACAGTAATAAATGCTCAACTCTGACAATGTCACTTGTTGTTTTCATAACAGGTCAGCACATATTTAGCATTAGAAGATTGTTGTTTCAGGTATCTGACTATATACACATCAACAGTTGCAGTGACTTGCTCAGCAAGTTTCTCTTTGTATCATTGCTCTGCCATGCCATTTTTAACCTGAAAGAGTTGTGGCATATTTTTGGATGCAGTCTTTTGTGTGGCTTAAATCGTTTGCATCTATGTATTTGTGTACAGTATGTTTCCACAAATCAGACTTTCAGATTTTTGCTGATAATTTGCACAGGTAAGCACCCCTAATGTTTTCCCCCTTCTTCCATATTATAGTGCTCTTTGTTAAACATGTTTTTTGTTATTTGTCCTTCATGTATTCAGTGATATAGTCACTTAAGCATGAATAATTGCAGCAGAGTTTGAGTCCAGCAGCTTGAATAGTTCTTGCGTCATTCTAATCTCATTGCCTTTGCATTGGGAGTATCTTTAGCAGGGTGAGAGGATTGAGGTTGGCTTGCATCAGTCATTAATCTAGCACAGCTATTAGTCAATGGTGTGTAAATGTAGTTCAGCAGGATGCATATATGGTCACACAAGCCCGGACTTTACAGCATATGTACAGAAAACCATTAATCTCACATAGCCTATGCTAGTTTGAATAAAATTATGCGTTTATCCCTTTTACTTCCAATGTAACTCCCCCTTGTGCTGTGCTTTTGAAGCCACGGGCCAGAGAAGGGTTGACATCCATTAAAGTGTCATTCTTACAGTTTACTACCCAAGTTTGAAATAATTAAGATTTCTTAAATATTTTAGGAAAAGTTTCTTATGCTCACCAAGGCTGCATTTATTTGATCAAAAATACAGTGAAAACCTTTTTTTTTTTTTACTATTTAAAATGTTCTCTATTTTAATATATTTTAAAATGTAATTTATTCCTGTGATGGGGAAGCTGAATTTTCAGCATATTAGGATGATTTCTGGAGGATCATATGACACTGAAGACTGGAGTAATTATGCTCAAACTTCAGCTTTGCATCACAGGAATAAATTATATTTTAGAATATATTAAAACAGAAAATGGTTCTTTTAAATTGTAAAAATATTTCACAATATTACTGTTTTTACTGTCATTTTAATCTAATAAATGCAGCCTTGGTGAGCATAAGAGAGTAATTTCAAAAATATTAAAGAATTCTAATTATTTAATAATGTAGAATTCATAGTAAAAATTGACATTTACTGTAAAGAATTTGAGTTTGTTTTTTCGAAGACAAGTATTTAGGGCTGTTAAAACATTTTAGTAATGTAAAAGTCCTCTGAAATGTTTTCAGAAGGAAGAAGGAAACCTGCCTTAAAAAGTGCACTTACAGTAGCAGCAGCAATCCAGATTTACATAATTACATTACTATGTTCTTTATCAGGTCA